GATTGTGGCTACCTTTGCCCGCCCCATGACTTAAATACCTTTTTCAGTAGCTCAGTCGAATGCTCGCTCGAGTCGAACAATGCTTCAGTCGGAGCTCATTTGACAGGTGATAGCAGGTAATTTGTAACAACATTCTCTATCGGTAATAACTGATGATAAATATCAGTTAATATTCACACATATTTCAATGCCTATTCAATTGTGATTCAAAGCCACAGTTTGGTCAACACTAATTGTCATCCAGCACACGCAAGTTGGGCGCTGAGCGTCGCTGCAGTGTTTCGCTTTCATACAAATCCGGGGGGAGATAGCGTTTACATATATATGTTTGAATGAATGTGTATGTGTAGGAGCAGACGTCCGACCCAATGACCGACCCAAAGGACACGCAGCGGCGGCTCCAAAGTGAACCCTTGACACTGAACTGGACGGGGCTTGAATCGGATGGGCCTGCGGGAGGTTGAAGGGGGATTGGCAGGGGCAGCGGCTGCGGCGGCGGCTGCACAGCTTGAAGTTAAATAAATTAAGGGCAATTAGGCGGAGCATTACGAGCACAAAGGTCAAAGGCAGTTGGAGCAGCTGAGCATCCTGCCCGCTGCTCAATTGCTCCCCAGCCTCCGGTTCTCCAGGGGCTTCAGGTGATTTTTGCCTATCTGAAAATGATGTTGGCAAATATTTATTTTGCCTCATGCAGCGACTATGATTTTATGCTGCTTCTTCTTGTTCGTTTCTGCTTTCCATTCCTTTACTTTTTTTTGTTTTTGCATTAATTACGAGATGTTGCACCGTAGGTTTTACAGTTGGTGGCGCTGCCGCTGCCGCTGCGGAAGTTGTTCAAATCGCCAAGATTAGCGGCGAGTGCAGAAAGCGTGGCATAAAAGCACTTTGGCCAATTAACTGCGGCTAATTGTTGCGTACAGAGAGCGAAATATTGTAGCTAAATGTGAAAGTCAACAAATCGTACAAGAGTACAAACTCTGCAGCAGCAGTGGCAGCCAAATCAACATCTTGCCACATGTGTGGCCATGTGGGAGACAGAGAGAAGTGGCATGAGAAGCCGCCTGTGACAGCAAACCAAAAAGAAAAGAAACGAAAAAAAATAAATAAAAACAGCAACATTCAAAGCAAAGCGATCATAAAGCACTCACAGCGATTTCTCAGCCAACTTCCGCTGCGGAACGATTTGCAAGCAATCGAGTTCTACTTTCGCTCAGCCAAGCGAATTTATCATTTTTGAAAAGCAACGAATAAAACAAAACAGAAATAAATGATTATCATACCTAACATGGAATTTAAGCGATTCCCCAATGCTGATGAGGCATTTCGTTACATGAGAAACAAGAGAGAGAGATCAGCGCACCGAACACGAAATACGCTAAGGTGAATGTCTTTGACGGATGTGATAGGGGAAATGAGGTTCAAAGGGGGAACGAGAAACTTTAATTATTTTGCTACTCAGAGTCTCTACAATTGGGATAATAATGATGTTTCAACTATTGAATTATAATCGACTTATAAAATTTTTTTTATATATAACGCTTGTATAACAGCTACATATAACTTTTAACACTATATATACCAGAAGTAACATTTTAACATTTAAATATTAGCAAAATTTATCTAAATTATATTCGAATAAACATTTCGAACTGCCCTCGCACAGCTGTTTCACAGCTCTTACAAATAAATTTTTCGATTATTGTGCAATTGCTATAAAGTCAGCAATGCTTAAGCTTGAGCTGCAAGGCTAAACATCTAAAAATAATTTATATATGTATATATATACACATACATACATACATCAACATCAAAAGTAGTTTAAAATCAAATCAAAACAAAATTTCATTCATTTTCAGCACATTTCAATTGGTTTTATATATAAAGAAAAAAAAAACAGTAATAAACGCAACTCATTTAGAAAATGTGCTGAAGACAAAGCGTGGCTCTACGCTTGGCTGACTCGATACCGAAGCAGAGGAAGCCAAAGATAGAAGATAGAAGATACGAGGTAGAAGCGGAAGAGGAGCATAACACTAATGTAACTGTGAAGAATAACACGGCCAGCGAAGATTTCACTTTTCGGCAATCATAACTGACCTTAATCAAAGTGACTTATGTTGGCAGTGCTAGAGTTAGACCCTATAAGAGATACGCTAATGCATCTAAATATTTTGATGGAATGTTTAAGTATCTATGCAATTTATAGAGTTGTAGCTAGCTAAAGTGTTGAATGTGTCTATAACTGTGCAGAATTGAAGTAAGATAAAGAAATGCTGATGTGAAATGTTTTTATAATTATGCTGAAGTAAGATAAAATACATAAATATATACAAGGCATGTATCCAAAGCTATGTGCGATTAGATACACGGATACCTAAACTAAATATATGATTTACTATATGGAATAAATCTATGCATACCTATATAGATGCACATGCATTCCCAAAGGTATCTGCGAGATACATCTGTCGCAAGTATCTACAGCTACAGCAGCAGTCTGTCTGTACGTATGTTTGTATCTGCTGGATGTATCTTTTAGCTCAGCAGCAACTAGAGAATGCGTAGCTGGTTAAGTTCGTTCTATTTCTTTTATTTACGATTATTGTTGAGCAAACACGTTTGCTGCAAAGGCAGACAAAAAAGAAAAACCTTCTCATGCTGCAAGTGAAGCTGACGCCGCTGCCGACTCGCAATCGCAGTCAGTGTCACAGTATCTGTATCTTCAAGATGCGACCTGAAAATTTCATTCATATGCAATAAACTGAGAGAATCCGGGACCGGCTGGGGCGGGGGCACCGCGCTCTGTCAGCTACACAGCGCGTTTCCTGTCTGGGCAACATCATGAGATATCATGTGCCCCATACACAATGCTGCAGCGGCAGCGGCAGCGGCAGCAGCTGTTGCAACAACAACAACAACTACCTGCCACAAAGTGGCCCGCAGGTGAAGTAACTTATACGCCGCCTGCAGATAATTAGCTTAACGCTCACATGGCTGTCCCGCAGTACCTGCCTCACAGTCGCCCCCCTATTGCCCGCCCTCTCCGCAGACCCAGCTCCATCTCCATCTTCATCTCCATCTTAATCTCGGTTCCAGTTTCGGTCTGTGTCTCAGGGTCCGCAATCGCAGTGTGTGGGTCTCAGCTCTTGTTGTCATCATCATTAAATGCCGAGACAGTCTGTATCTGTATCTGTGGCTGTAGCTGTAGCCGTAGCCGTAGCCGTAGATGTATCTTTTCTTTTTGCTGTTTTTTTATATATTTTATATATATTTTTTTTAGTTTCTTTGCTTTTTGTTGTACTTTTTTTTTAGAGGGTATTAAAATGTGATCATGCCATGTGTTGCACGCTAAGCAGATGTTGTTGACTTGAAATTTATATATATATATACATATATTCTGAATCAAGATCTGAAGTTTGCTCAGCATAGAGATATTACACTACATATTTATTTTATTTTAAATCATTTTTTTATTATTGATTATTTTTCATGCTATAAATATAACATATTTAACAGACTTAAGCATTGCTTTTCAATAGAAGTAAACTTTATTTATTTTATTGAACTACTTATAAGTATAAGTATATTAAGTATATTAAGTAAGTATAATATTTGATATTTGTATCAATTATTAATTTATGAAATGTTGAATGATAACAAAGCCACCCTGGCATATAAGTATACATACATATATACATACAATCATACATACACATACATACGTACATGAACACCTCAAAGTCGAAATTCTCTCAGAGTATCCACACTTCGTTTAGACTAAGAAACTCTGCCTCTCCCTCTCTCACACCCATCGATCTCTCTCTCTCGCTCTCTCTCTCTCACCTCTTCTTCTCTTGCTGTTGCTGGAAATCTAACAGCTTTTATTATTCTTTTCCTTTGTTCTGCAGAAGCAGCCAAGGCGATCATTATTCCACATAGAATTGTGCACTCACATACACACACACAAATACATTGTATATACATATGTAACTATAGACACGCATACATCAATATCAGCTCAGTAAGCTGATCTTGAGTATACCCCGTAGTCCCGCCCATATTTCAGCAAATTGTGAAATTCTGCACACGTTGCACACAATGAATGCATCGATTCATTCATTGCTCGAGTCGCGACTGAGTCGACGGATGTGACTCATTCGGCTAAAATACAAATTACGTCTCAAAGACAAACTCGAAATGCCCAAAGAGAGGCCCCTTCAAGTGCCCCGCCCTGTACGTTCCCCCCTCCAGACAAGAACATTTCTCGTGTTTATTTACTTTATTTGGTTCTGTTGTGCTTCACGGCTGAGTAGGTCGCGCCGGGTCAAAGCATTCATTCGTATTCGAATGTTTGTGTGTATGTATGTATGTATATTCCGGCAGATCATTCAGTTCGTTCGTTAGGGAAGCCAACATCTGAAGCGGTGAGAAAACAAACTTAATTGCATTCAATAGAGATGAGGATCAACTAATGAACACATTCATATTTGGCATTTGATTGCTTACTGCAGCTTTTAGGCATTATACTAATTAACTTGACTGCTATTTTGCTCATTATTACTTTTTGCATTATCATAAATAATTTGTTATCTAAATAAGAATCCACATTATAAGAACTATCTTATCTCAATTTAAACTCACTCACTCAACATGCTGTCAGTCGCATGTTGCCCAGCACGCACGTTGCGAATCGGTTAAAGCAACATTGGTTGAGCGCTTAGCGGCAAAAGCTAGGTAGAGAGTGTGAGAGCGGTCACACGACTGCCCGACGCAGCACTCCTCAGCGTATGACCAACCCCCTTCGTTCAAAAACAACGAACAAGCACGAGAGCCAAGCAAGGCAAAGTCAACCGTACACACGAAGCGGCGGGCCGAACACGAGTGGCACACAACGATGCCGAGGAAACGAGTGTTGTTTTTGTTACTTGTGTTCTTTGTGTCGCTCGATGGCTTTGGCTTTGGGCTTTCGCTTTTGCCAGTGCAGTGCAGCAGTTCGGCGCTCAGTTCAAGTCGATGATTGCTGCCGAGCGGTTGGGTTTTCAGTCCGTCATATGTAGCGCGCGTTGCCGTCGCTTAGAGCCGTCAGAGCAACTTCGTTCGCTTCGAAATCGTTACAAGTGTGAACCCAAATGAAATTTGAATTGAATGCCATAATATAGTTGGCAATGATCATTAGCAAGTGCAATGTGAGTGGGCAGCAAAATGTAACAGTTGCCTATGAAAATCAATGAGCAGCTGAATAAAACTCATCACGCGCACCTCGCACACGCACACACACACACACACACACACACATTCACCCACACACACGCAATCTTCAATCAGCTTCGTGTACTGCTCGTGACTCGTGCCGCGACCGTGTGTGCGTGTGTGTGTGGTCCTCTTGCTGTGCGGCTATGTGTTGTTGTGTGTGCTTGTGTTGAACGCAGGGCTCGAGTCCAGCTCGTTCCACAATTCCTGTCGTTCTTCTAACGCTGCTCTGATTGCAGGCCACGAGGCCGAAACGTAACGAAAACGAAAACGAAAACGCGATGAAAATTAAAGCTTTGCGTGGCAAAAATCGCTAACCAAAAAAGCAACAAAGCAAAAAAGAAATAATGAAATAACATAACGGTAAAAAAAAGAGGAAATTCACACACACATATAACAACCCCAACAAGTGAACACAAAGGAAATTGTGGCCGGACAGTGTTGCGTAAAAGTAAAAATTTCGCTTTTATTTTTTTGGTCCCAAGCTCTGGCAAAATAACGAAAAAAAAAAAAAAACAAATAGAAACAACAACAAAAGAAAATACAAGAAAAGTATATAAAAAACGATTATCATCTGGTCCTAGCGAGCGGCGTCGCTTCTATAAATAACGTTGCGCCAGGCGCCGCTAATTACGCCAAAACATGAAAATAAAAAGCAAAAGGAACAACAGCAGCAACAACAACGAGGGAAACTCGGCAATTAATCAATTTTCCGCTTGACCAATATATAATAAATTCATTCGAGCTGAATCCGCACGGAAGTTTGCACTATTATCATAATTAAAAACAAAAAAACAAAAAAATAGAGCAACAGAAGGAGCACGAAAAGCTGAGGGAGGAGCAGGAGGAGGAGAATCGGGAGGTTAGCATATCAGAGGAAAGCCAGTGTGGCATGGCCTAGAGGATACCATCATATCACCCACACCAACACACCACATATCCACACACAAACACACTCATTCAGCATATCCTAGAGAACCATGGAGCTGCACTGGAGGCAGCTGTTGCTGCTGCAGCTATTTCTGCTGCAACTGCCCCGATCTCTGCTGGCGAATCGCTATAGTTCCGGCAAACTCTACGCAAATGGAGGCAGCTCCAGTTCCAGTTCGGGGCCCAGTTCCGGTTCCAGTTCCAGCTACAAATCGTCACAGCAACAGAACGAAGTATACTCCATAGCGGACAGCCAGCCCATGACAGACGATGGCTATGTGGCGCCCTCGTTGGCCCCCTATCCGTATCCGGCCAGCGAGTTGGACAATCCGGTGCAGCACCTGAGCAGCTGCCAGACGGTGTGCGCCTGCAAGTGGAAGGGCGGCAAGCAGACGGTGGAGTGCATCGACAGGCAGCTCATCCAGATACCCGATCACATTGATCCCAGCACCCAGGTGCTGGACATGTCCGGCAACAAGCTGCAGACGCTATCCAACGAGCAGTTCGTGCGCTCCAATCTGCTCAATCTGCAGAAGCTCTATCTGCGCCACTGCAAGATCGGCGAGATCGAGCGCGAGACCTTCAAGGGGCTGACCAATCTGGTGGAGCTCGACTTGTCGCACAATCTGCTGGTGACGGTGCCCAGCCTGGCCCTGAGCCACATCTCCTCGCTGCGCGACCTGACGCTCGCCTCCAATCACATACACAAGATCGAGGCGCAGGCCTTCGGCAGCACGCCCTCGCTCCACAAGCTGGATCTCTCGCACTGCGACATCCAGACGATATCGGCACAGGCCTTCAGCGGGCTGCAGGGGCTCACGCTGCTGCGCCTGAACGGGAACAAGCTGAGCGAGCTGCTGCCCAAGACCATCGAGACGCTGAGCCGGCTGCACGGCATCGAGCTGCACGACAATCCCTGGCTGTGCGACTGCCGGCTGCGAGACGCCAAGTTGTGGCTGATGCAGCGCAACATACCGTATCCGGTGGCGCCGGTGTGCGCGGGCGGACCCGAGCGGATCATCGACCGCAGCTTTGCCGAGCTGCATGTGGACGACTTTGCCTGCCGCCCCGAAATGCTGCCCATCTCCCACTACGTGGAGACGGCCATGGGCGAGAACGCCTCCATCACGTGCCGCGCACGCGCCGTGCCCGCGGCCAGCATCCACTGGTATTGGAATGGCCGGCAGCTGGCCAACAATAGCGCCTTCAGCGCCTATCAGCGTGTCCACATGTTCGAGCAGCTGGAGGGCGGCTTCGAGAAGCGCTCGCGCCTGGTGTTGACCAACGCCCAGGAAACCGACTCCAGTGAGTTCTACTGCGTGGCCGAGAATCGCGCCGGGAGCGCCGAGGCCAACTTCACGCTTCATGTCAGCATGCGAGCCGCGGGCATGGCCTCCCTGGGCAGTGGCCAAATTGTGGGCCTCAGTGCCGCCCTCGTGGCGCTGATTGTGTTCGCGCTGGCGGCCATCATGTGCCTGCTGCTGCGGGTGAAGCGGCAGCCGTATGTGGACAGCAAGACGCCCAACCACATGGAGGTCATCACGTCGGTGAATCACCAGAACTCCATCACCAACAAGACGCAGCCGGCAACGGGCAATGGCAGCATCGGCGGCGTTGTCATCGCTAACGGGGCTGTGGCTAATTGCATCGATGGCGGATTAGCGGGCGTGGCCCCGGGCACGCTGGAGCGCAAGGGCAACAGCAGCAGCGCGGCGTCAACGGGCGGAGGGGTGGGCGGAGCTGGCTGTAGGCGTGCCAGTGGATCGCCGCACGAGCAGCGCAATGCAAATCCTGTCCAGAAGCCGCCGCGACTCACCGACCTGCCCTACTCGACGCAGGGCTACGACAATGCGGGCAGCGTGCTCTCCACCGCCTCCTGCTTCATCTCGCCCAGCGGCTCCACCGGGCATGGCAACAATCCGGATCTAATCAATGATACGAAACGCTTTGGCAGCGACGAGTTCTGCGACCTCAAGCTGCCCGCCATGGAGCTGACGAGCGGAGGCGGCGGCGGCGGCGGCAGTGGGGAATACAGTCGGGCCAATGGCTGCGACTCGCTGTATCCGTCTGGGCTGTGGGAGCATGCGGCGGTAGCAGCAGCTGGGGCCAGCTCGGCGGATGATCTGTTCATGAAGCGCTACACGGACAAGACGCCCATCATCGACTCCAGCCAGCTGTACGATCTGCACGAGCGGAGCGCGGCCAGCGACTACTTCAGCAAGACGTTCCCGCGCTCCCACTGCAATGCGACGCTGCAGCAGAGTGGCGGATGCAGTGCAGCAGCAGGAACCGGCGCCTCGACCACCTCGACGGCCACAACGAATTTGTCGAGCGGCTCCTCCGGCTACCCCAACGACTATGGGCTGCCCCTGGTGCCGGGCGCCGAGCATCAGCACAATCATCAGCTGCAGATGCATCCACTGCAGCAGCTGCAGCTGCAACAGCAGCTCCAGCACAGCAGCGGCAGTCCGCACTTCAGCAGTCGCACCCTGCCACGCCTACACGATGGAGGCGGCAGCAGCAGCGGCTCGGCCAGGTCATCGCCCACGCCCGCCCAGGCCATGGCTGCCCCGGCTCCAGCAAGCTCCAGTTCCTGCTCAATACTGCCCAATGGACAGCCCGTGAATGCCAAGACGATACGGGTCTGGCAGAAAGGGGGCGTGCCCGTGCTGCCGCCCGTCACAGCGCTGAAGCGGGCGCTGATCAGCAGCAGCCGCAACTCCCCGGACGAGGGCTACCAAGAGGGTTGCGGCACCGACGTCTAAGCGCCTCGACTCCACAGTCACACAGACACTGGAAACCCCGCAGAACTGACTAAACTTAAACTGAGTGCATACAGTAAACACTAACTATAGCACACCCACACACACACACTCACACACACACATATTTTATATACATCCATGTGGCTCATCGACTAGCGAGAGAATCGGGCGAATTCTCGTGGCGTGAATTTGTGCAAGCGAACTGTTTGTGATAGTGTCTAACTAAAAGATATGGCGAATGAAGATAATAAACAAAGAAAATTGCGAAAGCAAAACCGAAAAAGAAACCGAAACAGAAACTGCAAAAAAAAAATCTCTGAAAAATAATACAGTATACTTCTAGTTATAAAGCGCAAAGAAAAGAAAAACTGAAAACTAAACTAATTAATATATATATCATATACCTATAGAGCTAAATATAGATATAGATATGTATGAACACCTACGACTAACTAGCGAACCCTAAGAAACTGTAAATACCAACGTCTCAACTCTCGCAAGTCCCCGCATTACGAAAAATAAGATACTAAAACTAACTGCAATAAAAGTAAAGTTAAAATCAATGTCAAAGTAAAAGTAAAAGTCAAAGTAAAGGTAAAAGTCAATGTCAATGTAAATGTCAAAAAAAAAAGTAAATGAGAGAGATTACACACACACACACACAGAGACAGAGTACTTAGGAAACGTCTATGCCCATGTAAATGTAATTAAAATTTATAACTGTAAACTAACTGTAACTGTAATTCAGTAACTGTAACTGTAACTCTCTCTGTCTCACCCCCACTCTCTATCTCTATTTCTCTCTGAGTTAGTGTGTGCGTGTGTGAGAGTTTCAAATGTTGTTTCCCGAAAAGCCAACCAAAAACTGAAGAGAACTTCTCGTCCCCCACCCCCTCCTCCCTTCTGTAAAAGAATCGTAAGTTGTAGGCAGTTACGTAATGAACATATATGAAACTCTTATTCGGCTCAACAGAAATCCTTAACTGTCAGTTAAAGTTGACAAAGATAAAGAGAGCGACGAACTGCAGCAAAAAATTAAAACAAAAAGAAAAAATAAAATGAGGATAGCAAAATTGAATAAAACCGAAATGAATTCTTAATATCTGTGTGACTTCTGTATATATAGGCAAAATATTGAAAATATTGTAAGCATTCGCATGATTTGTGGGCGTGGCCAGAGCGTTAGATATATGAAGAGCGGGCAACAATAAAAATGAGAGAAAATTCATATAAAACATATAATGATGATGATCAGCACGCATAGACTTTGTAGGTAATACGTAAAAGAATTATGTACATACCAAGGTGGCGTTAACTCGACTCTCCAACTAACAATCACATTCAACAGTTAAGTTTCACAGAGCAACACTTTATTTGACAGTTATAATGCCAGACGGCGGCTTGATAGTTTCATATAATCAGCTCTTGACATTTTATTTGACAGCTTGATTTAACACTGTTCAAGGTGGATAAGACAGCTTAAACAATTCCTGATCACAAAATCTAAAACTAACATTTATATAACATCACATTTGACAGCTAGATGCTAGAAAATTGACAGCTGACTTTAATTCACTTTATATTATATCAGATTTGCCGGCTGGAATTTATAAAATATTCAGCCAACTTGTAAATTAGACAGTGATTAGAAGTCTAGACTTAACATGTGTGAAATGTCAAAGATTGCAGGATATGAAAAGTAAATTTCAAATCTTATAAAGGAATTTGACAACTAAATGAAAATTAACTTATTATATTTATTTTATTTTGTATTTTTTTTTTATAAGATTGACAGCTAGATTTTACATTAAATTGATAATTCGACATTCTTAACTTGCTGCTAACGGAACCCGTCCTATTATGATTTGTCCTGTGGTATATTTAGCACTTACTCTTAAAAGCATTTCCATCACACCTGTTACAAACCCTGAAGCTAGCAAGCATATCCATTGGAGGATATATATACCTCCACATTGAGGCCTGACGGCTAGACTTGACAGGTTGTGAATTTAATATTCACACTTGACAGCTAGCTTTTATCAGGCGTATCTCGGCATTTAATTTGTTAATGTTGTGCAAGCCACCGGATTTATTATGAAACTATATTCGCATTTAATTCAAGCCCAATGTCATCCACACCGGCTGAGATACTCAGTTGAACTTAAACTTTTAATTGACATTCTGACGGCAATCGAATTTGAGCAAGGCTAAAGCGAGATGCTGACCCACTTTTCACTTTTTGCATATTAATAGAAATAGTGTGAAAGCGAGTTGAGTCGAGTTAACGCTACCCGCACATTATGTATATTTTCCACTCCTGAAACCCCATTAAAAAAAAAAAAATGAAAATGCAAAAAAGAAAAAGATTAACTGTGAATCCGACTGCGCTTTGGCATTAAACTTAGGTAAAATTCGTATTTGCAGAAGTTAGTTAAAATATGTAAAAAGTTAAGGAATATCAAATGAAACTCGACATATTCATCAATTCATACGTAAATAATACATATGTAAATGCCCACACACACAGACAGACAAAAAGTGCTCCAAGTACACACACACACACCTACACACTCCAAAAAATATATCTATATCTGTAGGTCGTAAGCCCTAAAAGCATTCAAGCAGCAAAATAAAAACAAAGACAAAATAGAGAAAAACAGAAAAATAATAAATAAAAAAGAAACATTCAATTGAAAAGCAAAAAATAAATAAAAGAACAAGAAGAAGAAGAAGAAGCAGAAGCAGAAGAAAAACAAAAATAATATCTTTAAGGTAAACCAAAGACTTTTTTCTTTGCATCTAGTAAGCGAGGGGCAGAAACTAAACGTTGAACTTGAATGAGCGAAACGACGAACACGCAGAATAGCCTTAGCACTTAAGTAATACCTATGTATTGTATGATATAGTAAACCTATATATAACTACATATACATATATCTATAAATATAAATATAAATATTAATATAAATATAAATATAGTATATAGATGTATCTACTTAACATGTATGACAGGGCGCAGAGTTCGCTTAACAAAAGGCAAGCATTGAATGCAACTGAATGAAGAACAAAAGCAAAGGAAATATATATATATAAACAATATATATATCTACATATATATATGAATGAAAGCACACGGCGTTGTCATTACTTTTACAGCTCGACAAGGTAGGTACCCATGGGCAGCGAGGGGCGTGACCCAATTAACTCGCAGCAACAAAAAACTAAAGGAAAATAGAACTAAAATAAATGTTGTAGCAGCGGCAGCAGAAAAGACTCGGCTCCACACACAGCCAGAGACAATCGAATTCGCATGATGTTGCTGCCTCTGCCGGCGCTGCTGCTGGCGCTGCTGCTGCTGCTGATGCGCTTTTGTTGTTGGCCATTGCAGCGTGTGGCATATTAGGGCCAATCGTCTAATCGCCAATTATGCATTTAACCCAACCGCCCATACCCTCAAATTTACTCTCTCACACACACACACACAGAGAGATTACCTAGTAGCTGTATAAATCGATATGCACAATCGAGAGAGAAAGGCTAAATCTCTGACTCAACGAAGCTTAAATACTCTTTCGATGCGAGAGCAGCAATTTAGAAGCCTTTCAAAGCAACATATATTGCTCAACATATATTTACCAAGATAAATTTAATTATTCGCTTTTGATGTTTGAATTAGTTTTTAGCAATAAAAGTGAGCTTGCTTGGATAATCTGCACTTTTCTTTTTAAATGAAATGCATTTATTCTAGATTTAAGCTTCAATCAATGTGATGGATTGTTGGATGTATGGATTATCTTCTTTTATAACGAAATTGCTTTTGATAATAAAACTACAATTATATTGCTTTTTTAACTATACTATTTTTAATTAAAATATGTATATATTAATATTATCAGCGATTTTATTTTAATTCAATTTATTTTATATATAAAAAAAAGGCATTTGCATATAATCTTGTATTTATTTGAATTCTTTTTGTATAAAAATCAGTTTTGCTTGCAATTTATATTATTTTTTAATTCTTTGTTTCATCTATACATATTGATAACATATATACATATAAAGATTTCTCTTTATTTTATTAGACAAATTTAGTGCATGTCCTCTATGCCATAATCTATGCTGTTCTATTATAATTTTTATCTCTTGCATATATTTCATTAAATTTAAAAATAAGTTTGTATGAATATAGTGTAATATTTGTACTGTCCTCTATAAAATATGCTCATACATATATCATTTATTTTTACCATCTACTATTTGTTTAGCTTTAATACCTAACAAATCCTTTAGATGAGTTCATATATTACATATTATTACTAAAATTACTAATCTCTACGGCTACATTAAGTATCTTTTAATTCCTTAAATAATTATCCTCCCCATGGTATCTATCAGACCTTATACTTTGCTTAAAATATTTTTTTCTGCTTTATTTTTCTCGTCTCGCGCACAACTTGAATATAGATAAATTTAGTGCGTTAAGCAAAATGTATTATCCGCAGTGCATGAGCCGTACGCATTTATGGAAGAAACTCTGACAACGTTATATACACAACTATTAGTGTTAATTTGCTTCTTCATTGGGTTCGCCTGGTTCACGTCAACGTTTCGATACCCTCTCGAAATGTGAGCCAGGCCGAGCCCCTCATTTGCCCTCGGCTTGCTCCATTTTTCGCTTTAGTTTAGCCCACAAATTTGCAGCTACACATGTTTGACGTGCTCGTGTATGTGTGAGTGTGTACGTGTGTGTGTGTGTGTGCTGGGAAAGTTGTGGGAAGCGCGTAATAAATACGGCGGCAGGCCCCAGTACGAGATTATATCATGGCATGCATAGGTCTAACTGTCTGGCTCGTTGCCGCAGATAGAACTCCTCGCCGTGCCCCTGCCCCTGCCCCTGCCCCCTGCTCGCACTCTGGCCGCTCCCTGCTCCGCGTTACTCCGCTGTCCGCCATATCCCTCGCCTTATTGACGACGCGCAAAGTTTGCCAACTAAACAAGTTTTGTGCCTCAAATGAAATTTAGGTTGCAACTGAAGCCCAACAAAAGCCAAACAAAACAAAGCAGCAGCTATAACTACAACAACAACAACAGAAACGGCGCCAAGCGCACAAAAAAAAATTAGAACTTTTGCAGTGAAGGAAAGTGAATTTTATTTGTTCAACTTTATTACGTATACGTGCCGTTGTTCCGCCTGTGTAAATAACCAAAATGCAAAACGTGGCACCCCCACCCCTCTCTGCTCCCGTCCAACGGCTCGGCGCCTCCCCCACCC